TACAGGGAGTAGGAGTAGCTCTCAGGACACAACACACTGCCAGGTCATACAGGGAGTAGGAGTAGCTCTCAGGACACACCACACTGTCAGCTCATACAGGCAGTAGGAGTAGCTCTCAGTACACAACACACTGTCAGGTCATACAGGGAGTAGGAGTAGCTCTCAGGACACAACACACTGTCAGGTCATACATGGAGTAGGAGTAGCTCTCAGGACACAACACACTGTCAGGTCATACAGGGAGTAGGAGTATTTCTCAGGACACAACACACTGTCAGGTCATACAGGGTGTAGGAGTAGCTCTCAGGACACAACACACTGTCAGCTCATACAGGGAGTAGGAGTAGCTCTCAGGACACAACACACTGTCAGGTCATACAGGGTGTAGGAGTAGCTCTCAGGACACAACACACTGTCAGGTCTTACAGGGAGTAGGAGTAGCTCTCAGGACACAACACACTGTCAGGTCATACAGGGAGTAGGAGTAGCTCACAGGACACAACACACTGTCAGGTCATACAGGGTGTAGGAGTAGCTCTCAGGACACAACACACTGTCAGGTCAAACAGGGTGTAGGAGTAGCTCTCAGGACACAACACACTGTCAGCTCATACAGGGAGTAGGAGTAGCTCTCAGGACACAACACACTGTCAGGTCATATAGGGTGTAGGAGTAGCTCTCAGGACACAACATACTGTCAGGTCATACAGGGTGTAGGAGTAGCTCTCAGGACACAACACACTGTCAGGTCATACAGGGAGTAGGAGTAACTCTCAGGACACAACACACTGTCAGCTCATACAGGGAGTAGGAGTAGCTCTCAGGACACAACACACTGTCAGGTCATACAGGGTGTAGGAGTAGCTCTCAGGACACAACACACTGTCAGGACATACAGGGAGTAGGTGTAGCTCTCAGGACACAACACACTGTCAGGTCATACAGGGAGAAGGAGTAGCTCTCAGGGCAGAACACACTGTCAGGTCATACAGGGTGTAGGAGTAGCTCTCAGGACACAACACACTGTCAGGTCATACAGGGAGTAGGAATAACTCTCAGGACACAACACATTGTCAGGTCATACAGGGTGTAGGAGTAACTCTCAGGACACAACACACTGTCAGGTCATACAGGGAGTAGGTGTAGCTCTCAGGACACAACACACTGTCAGGTCATACAGGGAGAAGGAGTAGCTCTCAGGACACAACACACTGTCAGGTCATACAGGGAGTAGGAGTCGCTCTCAGGACACAACACACTGTCAGGTTATACAGGGAGTAGGAGTAGCTCTCAGGACACAACACACTGTCAGGTCATACAGGGAGTAGGAGTAGCCCTCAGGACACAACACACTGTCAGGTCATACAGGGAGTAGGAGTAGCTCTCAGGACACAACACACTGTCAGGTCATACAGGGAGTAGGAGTAACTCTCAGGACACAACACACTGTCAGGTCATACAGGGAGTAGGGGTAGCTCTCAGGACACAACACACTGTCAGGTCATACAGGGTGTAGGAGTAACTCTCAGGACACAACACACTGTCAGGTCATACAGGGAGTAGGAGTACCTCTCAGGACACAACACACTGTCAGGTCATACAGGGAGTCGGAGTAGCTCTCAGGACACAACACACTGTCAGGTCATACAGGGAGTAGGAGTAGCTCTCAGGACACAACACACTGTCAGGTCATACAGGGAGAAGGAGTAGCTCTCAGGACACAACACACTGTCAGATCATACAGGGAGCAGGAGTCGCTCTCAGGACACAACACACTGTCAGGTCATACAGGGAGTAGGAATAGCCCTCAGGACACAACACACTGTCAGGTCATACAGGGAGTAGGAGTAGCTCTCAGGACACAACACACTGTCAGGTCATACAGGGAGTAGGAGTAACTCTCAGGACACAACACACTGTCAGGTCTTACAGGGAGTAGGAGTAGCTCTCAGGACACAACACAATGTCAGGTCATACAGGGTGTAGGAGTAACTCTCAGGACACAACACACTGTCAGGTCATACAGGAAGTAGGAGTACCTCTCAGGACACAACACACTGTCAGGTCATACAGGGAGTGGGAGTACCTCTCAGGACACAACACACTGTCAGGTCATACAGGGAGTAGGAGTAGCTCCCAGGACACAACACACTGTCAGGTCATACAGGGAGTAGGAGTAGCTCTCAGGACACAACACACTGTCAGGTCATACAGGGAGTAGGAGTAGCTCTCAGGACACAACACACTCTCAGGTCATACAGTGTGTAGGAGTAGCTCTCAGGACACAACACACTGTCAGGTCATACAGGCTGTAGGAGTAGCTCTCAGGACACAACACAATGTCAGGTCATACAGGGAGTAGAGGTAGCTCTCAGGACACAACACACTGTCAGGTCATACAGAGAGTAGGAGTAGTTCTCAGGACACAACATACTGTCAGGTCATACAGGGAGTAGGAGTAGCTCTCAGGACACAACACACTGTCAGGTCATACAGGGTGTAGGAGTAGCTCTCAGGACACAACACACTGTCAGGTCATACAGGGAGTAGGAATAGCTCTCAGGACACAACACACTGTCAGGTCATACAGAGAGTAGGTGTAGCTCTCAGGACACAACACACTGTCAGGTCATACAGGGAGTAGGAGTAGCTCTCAGACTCAACACACTATCCGGTCATACAGGGAGTAGGAATAACTCTCAGGACACAACACACTGTCAGGTCATACAGGGTGTAGGAGTAGCTCTCAGGACACAACACAATGTCCGGTCATACAGGGAGTAGGAGTAGCTCTCAGGACACAACATACTGTCAGGTCATACAGGGAGTAGGAGTAACTCTCAGGACACAACACACTATCCGGTCATACAGGGAGTAGGAATAACTCTCAGGACACAACACAATGTCCGGTCATACAGGGAGTAGGAGTAGCTCTCAGGACACAACACAATGTCCGGTCATACAGGGAGTAGGAATAACTCTCAGGACACAACACACTGTCAGGTCATACAGGGAGTAGGAGTAGCTCTCAGGACACAACACAATGTCCGGTCATGCAGGGAGTAGGAGTAGCTCTCAGGACACAACACAATATCCGGTCATACAGGGAGTAGGAGTAGCTCTCAGGACACAACACACTGTCAGGTCATACAGGGAGTAGGAGTAGCTCTCAGGACACAACACACTGTCAGGTCATACAGGGAGTAGGAGTAGCTCTCAGGACACAACACACTGTCATGTCATACAGGGAGTAGGAGTAACTCTCAGGACACAACACACTGTCATGTCATACAGGGAGTAGGAGTAGCTCTCAGGACACAACACACTGTCATGTCATACAGGGAGTAGGAGTAACTCTCAGGACACAACACACTGTCAGGTCATACAGGGAGTAGGAGTAACTCTCAGGACACAACACACTGTCAGGTCATACAGGGAGTAGGAGTAGCTCTCAGCACACAACACACTGTCAGGTCATACAGGGAGAAGGAGTAGCTCTCAGGACACAACACACTGTCAGGTTATACAAGGAGTAGGAGTAGCTCTCAGGACACAACACACTGTCAGGTCATACAGGGAGTAGGAGTAGCTCTCAGGACACAACACACTGTCAGGTCATACAGAGAGTAGGTGTAGCTCTCAGGACACAACACACTGTCAGGTCATACAGGGAGTAGGTGTAGCTCTCAGACTCAACACACTATCCGGTCATACAGGGAGTAGGAGTAGCTCTCAGGACACAACACGCTGTAAGGTCATACAGGGAGTAGGAATAACTCTCAGGACTCAACACACTGTCAGCACATACATGGGGTAGGGGTAGCTCCCAGGACACAAAACACTGTCAGGTCATACATGGTGTAGGAGTAGCTCTCAGGACACAACACACTGTCAGCTCATACACGGAGATGGAGTAGCTCTCAGGCCACAACACACTTTTAGCTCATACATACTCAAAATTATGATCACCAGTGGCACATTGAAAGGATGCCGGTGGTAACTTTCTGGTGACACCACACCTGACAACACGAGAAACTAAATTGCACCTGACCCGGTGCCGGACCATGACAGGACTGGGCGCAGAAGTAGAGCAGAGCAGAGTACTCATTTTCATTGGGTTCTTGGTGTCAATAATGTATTTGTGTTGTGTTGGCTGTCACAATATAGTGTTTGATAGGCATCATTTAGAAAGTGACGGATGACAAGATGGCCACAATTTTATGAATAACAACTTCTTTAATACTGACGTGACGTGTCAGTGTAGATCTTTATACAAGCAAGACTGAATGAGAGACATAGTACATAACATAAACTAATGTCCAAAAGGAATGATACCAAGTGTTCAAAAGGTTATGGAGGAAAAACAAAACCAGAAACTTCATATTGGTATATTTCATTAGAGCAATCTTTTAACATCATGTGTACAAAAATTCATTTTAATCATATTTAAACATGCAGAGATTTGTATCGGTATTGTGTTCCTAACGTGTCGGGTCAACAGATTTAACAGTAGATCTCCACGTGGATGTCGTGCTACGGCACATGACATCGTTTTTGCAAAGTATACGTTTTTTACACAAATTGTCAAATTTTCCGGCCTTTTCCCACCGATTACATTTGGCTTGGTACGTGGGGTATGTTTCAATATGTTTTCATATAAAGTAAATCACTTATAACTCAAAATGAATTATAAATAGTTGGTATCATTATTTTTGGACATTAGTTTCTAGAGTAGGTGGAAGATTAACAGTAGAGGATTAACATTGGTAGGTGTTGACATGTCGACATGCATACGATGAGTGAAGCCGATTTCTAGTGTCCCCCGCTATGATATTGCTGGAATATTGCTAAAAGCGGCGTAAAACCATATTCAGTCACTCATCCCAGTACGATGAAAGTAGTCCATATCGATATACATTGCTTATCATTTTACATTCCTTTGGAAATGAATGCTGAAGAAATTGACCAATCAACACAACTAGTTTGCAGTAACTACAATGCACACACAACAAGTTTAATTGCATATCTGTTTCTGAGTATACACAAAATATATATGTTAAATGTTCGAAATGGCTTTTCATCAGAAAATATACATAATGAAATACAGTGAGTTACCTACAAATGTTGATGACATGAACTCCTTTAGTGGTATATATGTCTGCAATAACAATATATTGTTTCAGGCAATTTAAAACACACATGACTGGCACATTTTTATCATATGCGTCTTCTTAATGGGGGGAAGTTTATGAAAGTTGCTTAAAAGAAAACACACTGTCCTGGTAAAATAATAAAGCCTGATTCGTATTTTTGTGGTAATCCTGCTTCTGTTGTCACCGCCGTGATGTGGCTGGACTATTGGTAAAAGCTGCTTAAAATGATATTTACTCATTCATCCACTGATGCTGCTGAACTGTTTAGAACTTTACCGTGCAAGCACTTCGTACAGCCAGCAAGTTGAAATGTCTGTAATAAAAATAATTCGCGAATCAGTTATTTGACTTCAAACATTTTGCAGTTAGTAATAGTTTACAAATTTGATTTTGATATATTTAGGGTCCTTTTCACGTGTTGTGACGATGTATTTTCCTATTACATGACGATAGCGGACAACGAGGACGACAGCGAGTACAAGTAAGACGCCAAGGCCTAGAGTAGCATCAGTTGGAGTGTCTCTGTCTTCAGTGGCAGTGGGTCTGCTGGGCGTGGGCGTCGGTCTGTTGGGCGTGGACGTCGGTCTGCTGGGCGTGGGCGTCGGTCTGTTGGGCGTGGACGTCGGTCTGTTGGGTGTGGACGTCGGTCTGTTGGGCGTGGACGTCGGTCTGTTGGGCGTGGACGTCGGTCTGTTTGGCGTGGACGTCGGTCTGTTGGGCGTGGGCGTCGGTCTGTTGGGCGTGGACGTCGGTCTGTTGGGCGTGGACGTTGGTCTGTTGGGAGAGGACGTCGGTCTGTTGGGAGAGGACGTCGGTCTGTTGGGCGTGGACGTCGGTCTGTTGGGCGTGGACGTCGGTCTGTTGGGCGTGGACGTCGTTTGTTGGGCGTGGACGTCGGTCTGTTTGGAGAGGACGTCGGTCTGTTGGGAGAGGACGTCGGTCTGTTGGGCGTGGACGTCAGTCTGTTGGGCGTGGACGTCAGTCTGTTGGGCATGGACGTCGGTCTGTTTGAAGTCACTATCACGTGTTGTGACGATGTATTTTCCTATTAAATTACGATAGCGGACAATGAAGACGACAGCGAGTATAAGTAAGACGGCAGCAGGCAGAGACAGTCCGATAGCAAGGCCTAGAGTAGCATCAGTTGGAGTGTCTGTGTCTTCAGTAGCAGTGGGTCTGCTGGGCGTGGACGTCGGTCTGCTGGGCTCGGACGTCGGTCTATTGGAGGTGGACGGTTTCTCGGTTGGTACCGTGGAGGTGTCGGCACTGGTGGTCGTTACATCTTAAACAAGAAATTGTGAATCATGAGTGAGTGATTGTTTTACGCCGCTTTTAGAAATATTCCAGCTGCACGTAGACCATGCTGCACGTATTTTTTCTCTTGCACGCTTTAAGCGAATTCCCTTTATTACCGCGATACACTGTATTGTTTGACAATAAGGTATGTCGATGTTTTCTTACTTTTTCTGGTATTTCTTGCATTTAGACGGTTCATAAGTTGGGAGGCACGGGTGACCCAGTCGTCTACCTCCGAGGTTTTGGTTGAAAATGTTTTCCCTCTTGGCGTAAAAATGTACTCACTAATCCAGACATTTTGAAAGATTTAAGATTTTCCTATATGTAGATACTATTAGTTCTAGCCGTAGGGTAGCGCATATATCTGCGTCAACATTCCCCAAGTTAGTGTTAATTCAGTATATATATTCAACTTACCGGGTACTGTGACTGGAGTTGTTTCTGTCGTCTGTGCTGCTTCTACAAGGTCAGAAAAACATGCGATTATATTTTCAATATCAGTTCAGTGAGTAAATAAGGGAGTTACTTGTAAGCAATATCAACGATGAGACATAGACTTCCGATAATCGTTATGATGTGACTGCTTAAAGCGCCCAGGTTTTTTTCCAGTAAGGACATCGTGGTAGCCTGGCTATAACTCATCAGGATCAAAACTCGGGATCGATGGACACACAGTGATGGAGAGCCTGGCATGAGAGTCGAAGGTCCGGGCCTGGATCCTCGACCGCGTCATATCATAAGACGTTAAAATATAATACTAGTTATGACCCTGTCTGGCGGGCGGCATCAAGGGGCTAAAACAAGGACTGGTGGGCTTGTGCCTGAGTGGGATATGCATGTTAAACTGCGACAAGGTATCTCAGTGGGCTAGCACTATAAAATCAGCATTAGTCCAGACTGCTACAGCAGCCACAAACAAACAATCACGCACGCACGCACGCACGCACGCACGCACGCACGTACGCACACGCACACAAGCACGCACGCACGCACACACACTGTAAACACAACTCACTCACCTTTTACCAATATGTTGTACTTGTAAATTTACTCTGAGAATATGCTACAAAACCATTTCCACAATCTCAAAACCAACGAACTTTTCGGGCTATATCAAGAACATGTGTTACTATCAGATAGTTATGATACCAGGAGTATTCTGCCCCACCGCCGCCCACCAGCCTTCTAAGCCCTTTTGGTACATAACAATAAGCTGGGACCTTTTCGCTCTATGAAGTTAATCCAAATCGCGTAAGCGTGCCAGGTAATACGATACGGCTATGGTTGTTGTCACACCTCGTGCAAGGTAATACGATAAGGCAAAGGTTGTTGTCACACCTCGTGCCAGGTAATACGATAAGGCCAAGGTTGTTGTCACACCTCATGCCAGGTAATACAATAAAGCAATTGTTGTTGTCACACCTCGTTCCAGGTAATACGATAAGGCTATGGTTGTTGTCACACCTCGTGCAGGTAATACGATAAGGCCATGGTTGTTGTCACACCTCGTGCCAGGTAATACGATAAGACTATGGTTGTTGACACACCTCGTGTCAGGTAATACGATAAGGCCAAGGTTGTTGTCTCACCTCGTGAAGGTAATGCGATAAGGCCAAGGTTGTTGTCACACCTCGTGCCATGTAATACGATAAGGCAAAGGTTGTTGTTACTCCTTGTGCCAGGTAATACGATAAGGCCAAGGTTGTTACCACACCTCGTGCCAGGTAATACGATAAGGCCTAGGTTGTTGTCACACCTCGTACAGGTACTACGATAAGGCTATGGTTGTTGACACACCTCGTGCCAGGTAATACGATAACGCAAAGGTTGTTGTCACACCTCGTGCCAGGTAATACGATAAGGCCAAGGTTGTTGTCACACCTCGTGCAGATAATACGATAAGGCTATGGTTGTTGACACACCTCGTGCAGGTAATACGATAATGCCAATGTTGTTGTCACACCTCATGCCAGGTAATACGATAACGCCGAGGTTGTTGACACACCTCGTGCCAGGCAATACGATAAGGCTATGGTTGTTGTCACACCTCGTGCCAGGTAATACGATAACGCCAAGGTTGTTGTCACACCTCGTGCAAGGTAATACGATAAGGCTATGGTTGTTGTCACACCTCGTGCCAGGTAATACGATAACGCCAAGGTTGTTGTCACACCTCGTGCCAGGTAATACGATAAGGCCAAGGTTGTTGTCACACCTCGTGCAGATAATACGATAAGGCTATGGTTGTTGACACACCTCGTGCAGGTAATACGATAATGCCAATGTTGTTGTCACACCTCATGCCAGGTAATACGATAACGCCAAGGTTGTTGACACACCTCGTGCCAGGCAATACGATAAGGCTATGGTTGTTGACACACCTCGTGCAGGTAATACGATAAACCCAAGGTTGTTGTCACACCTTGTGCCAGGTAATACGATAACGCCAAGGTTGTTGACACACCTCGTGCCAGGTAATACGATAAGGCTATGGTTGTTGTCACACCTCGTGCCAGGTTATACGATAAGGCCAAGGTTGTTGTCACACCTCGTGCCAGGTAATACAATAAGGCTATGGTTGTTGTCACACCTCGTGCAGGTAATACGATAAGGCCAAGGTTGTTGTCACACCTCTTGCCAGGTAATACAATACAGCCACGGTTGTTGTCACACCTCGTGCCAGGTAATACGATAAGGACCAGGTTATAGTCACACCTCGTGCCAGGTAATACGATAAAGCCAAGGTTGTTGTCACACCTCGTGCCAGGTAATACGATAAGGCCAAGGTTGTTGTCACACCTCGTGCCAGGTAATACAATAAGGCTATGGTTGTTGTCACACCTCGTGCAGGTAATACGATAAGGCCAAGGTTGTTGTCCCACCTCCTGCAGGTAATGCGATAAGGCCAAGGTTGTTGTCACACCTCGTGCCAGGTAATACCATAAGGCCAAGGCTGTTGTCAAACCTCAGTCCAGGTAATATGATAAGGCCAAGGTTGTTGTCACACCTTGTGTCAGGTAATACGATCAGGCCAAGGTTGTTGTCACACCTCGTGCCAGGTAATACGATAAGGCCAAGGCTGTTGTCAAACCTCGTGCAGGTAATACGATAAGGACCAGGTTATAGTCACACCTCGTTACCAGGTAATACGATAAGGCCAAGGTTGTTGACACACCTCTCCACTAAATCAAAATGTAGTGCAATTGTTCTGGGTTGCTCGACACATAAAGGTGACAGGGAGTCACACCAATCATATCACTAATGTGTTGTTAACCACTGCGTTATTTAAGGTTTGTTCATGGTATTCACGCCTAGCATATCCAGTGCAGAGATGTGGCCGCTTGTAAGTAAAACAAAACGTTTAAGAAATATATACACAAAGAAAAAAGTTAAGCACACCTTTATATATTTCTTCATTGTTTGGTTCCAATGTTTGTTACAGTAAATGAGGCATAATTGCGGGAAGAATTGTTTTCTCGAGATGATGTAATCAGTCATGCGTGACGAAAGCTCACGTGCCTTCTTTGGTGTACTTACGAGTATCTCTAAAATCAGTATATCCAAATGTTAAAATTGCTTTCTTAAGTTTTAAACAGTTATTCCAAGGCGATTACCAAACGCCCCAAGATGGCAAATCGACAAATCGCCGATAACCCTTTTTAACATGTACTCGACTGAAACAGCTGTGGTTGCCCAATCGTCGTTTCAGCACCAGAAACGTCAGGAACCGGCTGAAAGCATCATGACTGAGGGCTAGACGAGTCATAAAGCGTCCCTTGTTGCGAGATCACCACAAAGCACCTCGTTTAGCATGGTGTATTACACGACTGAACTGGAATCTGAGAACTTGGAGACGGATGCATTGGTCAAACGTAAGTCTCTTTCTGCTCCACGTCACTGATGGAGGAACGAGGGTTTGGAGGCACCGGACCACGGCCTACACCCCTAGGAACATTAAACAGGCTGTTGCATACAGTCGGGGCTCGGTGATCGGGTGTATCTCTCATGATTGCAGGTTGAATTTGGTCACCATAAAGGGCAACTTAGCATTTTGACAACCACCCTCTTGCAACTCGACCTCAGTACATTGATGACAATGCCAGGCCTCATCGTTTGCATGCAATCGTGGATTACAAGAGGGCCAATGCAATAACGACTCTACCCTGGCCAGCAATGAGCCCAGATTTGAACCCCCTTGAACATGTTTGGGATATTCTTGGGCGGCGCATACAGGCATGAGATCCTCCTGTACAAGATGTACGCCAATTGGAAGCAGCATTCCATCAGGAGTGGTTGTTGTTGACCCATTATCAGATCCAACGTCTGACTGGAGGCATGAGACGTAGGGTGGAATGCGCCATCCGGGCACGTGGCGGTCATACCACTTCAGATCTGTTTCACGTGTCATGTCAAGTAGAGACTTTAAGGAACATTTGTACACGAAACATCAAACGTAACTCGTTTACTAAATCCTGCAGCTCCAAATTGTTTTAGTTATTGTCTGAGGTCAAAAACGTAAGGACCATATACAGGCTCCAGCAACAGTACCAGACCACCAACACTACAGATTACCGGCCCCGTAGTGGAAGGCCAAGGGTCATCACCCGACGTCAGGATCGTCAGATTCTGCGACAGCATCTTCAAGATTGCTTTGTGCGGCTGCGGGAACTGCTCGACAAGACAATGGGGGCACACCAGTGACACGTTAGTGCCGACATCGTGCGTCGACGATTGACGAGCAGACAGCTCAACTGGCACAGGCCACACCTAGGACACATTCTGCCATCATGCCATCACCGGGACCGTCTTCAGTGGGCAACATAGCACCAGCATTGGTGCCACTAGCATTGGAGAAGAGTCCTCTTCTCAGATGAGAGCCGTTACTGCATCTCAACAATGGTGAACGTTATTCGGATGTTTGTGTTGTTGAGAAAGACTCGTGGTGTGGTCCGAGCATCATGGTGTGGGGTGATATTGGTCTTGCAAAGGGGTTGGCCCTGTGGTCTTCAAGAACATCGGTCCAGGGAGAGGCAATGGTGTCACAGCAGCTCGGTACATTGATCAAGTCTTGAGACCATACCCCATATTTCACAACCACGAGTCTCATCATGATAACGCCCGTGCCCACAATGCAATATCAGCAAGAGAGCAGAATGGCATCAGAACCATGCAGTGGCCTGCCCTTAGTCCCGATTTAAATCCCATTGAGCACTTGTGAAACGAGATTCAAAGACGGCTGAATGACGTCTGACCAAGGCTGACAACTACAGCTGAACTGCATCAGGCATTCCTCAGAGTGTGGGCTCAAGTGCATAGGGCCTTTATCAACTGCCACATTCATTCCATGTATCGACGTTGCACGGCAGTCATCAATGAACATGGCGGACACACGAGATACTGACTTGTGATGCCATTTGCTCAGAGACTAGTGTTGTTTGACACTTTTATTTCAACCTTGATGATCAGTTTTGCCAATTTTTTCCTTTGTAATATGTCTCAAAGTATGTTTACAGTGTTTGGACAAGTAAGGTTTCCCATATATCTATCCATGGTGATGTTTCTTTTGCGATTCAGTATACATGACATACATGCATAAAAAAACAAGAACTTACCACTCAACTTGTCAACTCCGGCACAGATAAGTGTTCTGGTGATGTTGTCACACAGGAATATGACATCGACGTCTCCAAAGTGATCGGCTGTGACATTCAAGGGCTGGGCTAGGACAGCATCAGTGATATTGTCCATTGTCTGGTTTTCTAGGAGTGCGTTGTTTATGCGTCCAGTCGTCAGATAAAATCCAGCTTGTTGAGAACAGTAGTAGTTCTGGATGTCTATTGTCAGGGTGAGATTAGTGCCAGGTTCCAGTGCGTTGGTGTCCGTGTCGCTGCTGATGTTGCACTGTGGCGGTGCTGGTTGCAACGAATAGATAGATGAAATTACATATTAGCTTCCTGAGGATCATGCATAAAAGTTGAAGGAACAAAATACTTTGACAATGCACACACATATCATCGGTACAAATAACATTAACTGAGATGTAATGTAATCAAGAAATAAATATGAAACATAATTATCATCAGTAGTTCGTTTTTGGAGATAATATGAATTGTGCAGATAGACTGGTCATGTGTAACTTTCAGAACAAGATTTCTTCCCCTAGCTATGGTAGGATTCGATGATCATTGGTTTGAATTCCAGACAAGCTCTTGTGATCAGTGGTTTGTCGGCACCACACCCGTGATCGCAGGTTTCACCCAATTGGTAAGCAGCTAAAACTGTGTCACTTAAAAAAGTGTAAAGGCAAACTCGCTGACTCGGACATAACTCATGTTTTTGTACGGTAAAACTGACTTGTGTCACTTGTGTCACGATTTCCTTCTATACCAGGCTGTTACGCAATGATATTGCTGGCGTATTGTTAAAAGAGGCGTTAAACAAAACTCGCTAACTCAGATATTTCTTATTGAAAGGAAAAGGACTTTTCTACCCACTTTTCAGTAGCTTCTGAACACCGTTACCAGTAAGAGTCCAACTTCTGTCACATATGAAGTTTATCGACACATCGCCTAATCGGGTGATATCTACGTTGAAGGTTGTGTTAAGGGTTGAGTTTGATACATCACTGACGTTGTGTTTCGTGGTCAACGCTTCAGTCACAGCACCAGTTGTCAGATCAAAGCCCGCCTCCCGAGAACAGTAGTAGCCTGTGATGTTTACTGTTAAAGTCAGCTGTGCTCCAGGTTCCAGGGAGTCAGTGTCCTCGTCACTGCTGATGTTACATTGTGGGATCCCTGGTGGCATAATTATATGAAGAAAGTGATTTAACAACACAAAACTGACATGATTTTGAAAGGGAGCGGGTCGTATAATATCAGCATCCATTGATCATTAAAGGCTGGTGTAATACAATCATTATTCCCAACATAAATGTAAGACATATGGGACCGAAAGCACACTAATATTCATACTTCCCACAAACAATATGAATACACAATATGGAAAGGTTTGATGGCGATAAACGTGTGTAAAAATAATTTCGGGCGTGGAGATCAGTATCTCATGTCTTCACCATGCTGAGCGATGCTGTTAATTAACTTGGATATGGCTGTCAATGGTATTGCCCGCCGCAGATTTTCTACAAACGCAGATGCTGGGTCTTTGACAAAGAAAATCCTGAAAATGCTCTATTGGGGACATGTCAGCCCAATATCCGCATGCTGTCTCTTGGGGTAAATCGGAGACGACCTGGGCACAATGTGGTCTGATAATTCAATATTTCTGCTGATAATTCTCACGAATATAGCAGCGACAGGACGCAAATTTTTTGTTGGCCAGTCAAATGTCCATTAAGAAATTTGTAACCAAATCAGTTTGCCTGTCATGTGTGATACCGCCCCACATCATGACACTACCACGGAGAGCAGGGGATGTGAACGGAAGATGCTGAAATTCGCCTTCCTGTCATTGTACGGAATTATATATTTATAACAAGAGTAGATTTGAATCTATTGCGTAGTGTTATTAATGAGACAAGACGATTTTTCGTGGTGTCGCATTGAAGGCCGTTTGATGACAATTGTCCTTCAGGCAAACAAATACACTTTTTGACTTCCCAAATATTTTGTGTAATAATAATATATACTTTAAGAGCGTGTTAGCTCAAATGCATTAGTTATTGTGAGCTCCACTATTAGCGTACATGCTTTTGCTTCTGTGTGCACGTGCATCACACGCTCTTCATGCATGATGTGAAATTTACTTGTGATTTGATGATGCGTTCAGATGCATCGCCCACGGTAATGTAAATATGCACATCAATGATAGCTACATTCCAGTCATTCCTTCCAATTATTTATGATTGTAAGTAATTGATGACCTTAAGCAACACGGGTAAGCCTGTATGTTTCCTAAGTCTCTAGGTACACACGGTTCCGTGGTTGTTAATAACTTCATTAATGACATCTTGGGGATAACTTCATAACATCTCTAACTGTGTTACATCTTGGGTACTAAAGACACCGCTCCCATCAAGACCTAAATTAACAGGTCGTGGTAAGACTTTAATACTTTAGGGATTATAACATGGCCATATTTGTCCTTGGCGGGGAAAAGTACTACAACGTTTGCTTTATCTTTTTTATTTGTGAGTTGATATTGCTTGACTCATCTCAGGGATTAGGGTTTACGATATCCACTAAGTCACCAAATGGTTTCCAGACTTCCATGATTATATACTCACTAGCTGTCGTCAGTTGACACACGTCGACAGGGATGGGTTCAGTTATGGTCGCATCCACATTCCTCCACGTTCCAACATCTTGCAACCCAACACTGTGTATAGTGAGTGTAGAGTGTGTGTCGTTCATTGTTGCACTGTACCCAGCCACCGGGCTGCAGCTGGGGTTGCAGGTGACGACATACCGGCCATCAGTTGGTCGTACCCATATAAAGCCTGTATAGTTGCTTCTGTCACCTTCTATTGTGTATTCTGATCCAAGAAGAGCCACTCCCCCAGGGCAGTCTGTGTCCGTCAGTGCTGTAACGTGGAAGAGAGTTGTACTGTTATCACTACTATTAGTACGTTACTGCTGTTGTCGGGGCTACTGTTAATCTCACAATATATACATCGCATATACCACGGGGTTCCGGGATAGAAAAGGTTGTCAGGCACGGTGACTTGGTTGATAGCGTGTCATCGTTTCCCGATAGCATGGATCGTTGTACGCAATAACGGTCACTGGATTGTCTGGTCGATTTATCTGTTGGAGTGCGGCCTTAATGAAGGAAAAAAGGAGACCCCTCACATAAAAAAAAAACATATCAAAACGAGATTTGACATCGAATCGGTAATATTACAGCCAGATCGCGATGAGAACAAGTTAGTTATTGTTAAATGCCTGTCGACAAAGAATAGTGACAGAGTAAGGTTACCACATCGAACAGCTGGCTACCCTTTCGTGGACAATAATAGTATCAATTCATGAAAACAATGAATATCAACACAAAAACACATTGTAATAGATACCATGAATTTTGAAATGACAAAATACCTGTAGTCATCTTAAATACAGTGGTTGAATATAAAATAGCAATTATGTGCAAGCAATACGCTTGTAAAAATAATAAACTTGTGAGAACACATATGAAATCGTCAACTTTAGCCTCAATGTTGTGGAGCAGATGAAGCATTTTGATGTATTTGAACGTGGATTAGGACGTACATGTATATTGTTCTCCACCCTCGGCGTTTAAAGCAACGATCTGTGATGTTGGTATTACAGTGGTATGTTTTGTTGTTCCATCTTCCTCATTCGCCAACTGACCGCCTCCGTGGTCTAGTGGTAGAGCGTCCGCCCGGAGAGCGCAAGGTCCGGGGTTCGATCCCAGGCCCCGTCATATCAAAATACGTTAAAAGATGGTACTTGTTGTTACCCTTGTTGTTACCCTGAAACTAGGACTGGTCGGCTCGGAGTCAGTGTACTGTGTCTGAATGGGGTATTCATGTTAAACTCCGGCATAGTTTCGAGCACTATAAATCGGGATCAGTCCGGACTAGTACAATCAGCCACACACACGTGTGCATGCACGTTGCTATATCAACGGCTAACAGACGAACTATGTATAGAACATATTAAACGTGAATGAGATTCATGTGTCAAAATTTATAACGTGATGCTAACAATCCAATTTACAATACATACGTACAATCACTTCAAACGGAGTAACTTCTCCGCACAAGGATTCCATCTGCTCGAAAACAAGTTTCACAATAGCATTCTTCATCACACAGACATACAGGTTAAATACAAAACACGTCCGGGTGGTTTAATGTCACAGTCAACAATATTCAAATTGAGTGAGTGTGTTCAAATTTTACATCGCATGGGCAGTATTCCAGCCATATTGCGAAGTGAAAAAGATAGTTATTATTATATAAATAGACATTGAATGATAAATAGAGGTTATCACGCGAGTGTTTGGGGATGGTAATTATCCATTAGGAATAAACATTGCATTTAGCGACTATTTAAACATAGTTGATTAGTAAGGGTGAATACCGATACGTGGATAGTTTCATTGAGTACTTTGGCAGTCCCGTATCCTGTTTTTCGTAGCAAAAAGTAAATAAGTAAGCTAATTATGAATATCATTAATACCAATATTTTATCGAGAACTGAACAATAACAGCATGTGGTATCTACAAGGGCTTCTAATGGAATGGAAAACTCCAGAGTGAGTGAGTGAATGTTGTTTCATGTAAACAAAAATTAAACCATTCATATTTTCGAATCAGAGACTTGCACCGAGTCTGCTACCGTGCTCTTACAAAACTACTGCTAATGCGGTATTTAACCTACCCACCATCTGATCATTGTGAAGGAATACGTATTAACTGTGCTTACCATGAGTAGAGCACACCGCAAGGTTAAGCAGAACCATGATTAGATTTCTTCTATGCATCATTGTCATTGAGACATCCACTGAAAAATAAAATGAGTGAGTGAGTGAGTTCGGTTGAACACTGCTGTGAAGAGTGTTTTAACTATAAGACGGCGTGAGATGGAGGTGTTAAACATTTAAAACTCACGACCATGAGTATGACGCTGACAAATCTGGGAGCTTAATCAGGGTGAACCGGGATTCCAACCTATGATTCCAACAATGTATGTGGACAAGTGGCTGACTGGTAAACAACATGGCTACACTTGCCAAGAAAATTTCAACAATAACCAGCTTTTTCGTCTCCATGCAAATTAACCAAATAGACAGTTAAATAAATGAATTGCTTATCCATTGTTTGATCGTTCTAAAATAGCCATAAATGTTTTTTGCACACCAGATGTGTATAATCTTACGTGCATCCTCGTTTGCTCCAAACTCAAACATATCACCACCTCCGACTAGCCTCGAATATTGTACATAAATCAACTTCTCTTGATATATTTGACCTTGTAAGACACTCGGGTGAGATTCTCTATAAATTATGTGCCTTATCCACTGTTTGTTTGTTTAAAAGTAAACTTGTGTTTCTAACAGCTTAAAATGTTCCTTTTGTCGAGATGGTCAGTCTGTCCTCTAATTGTTGTTATGACTAACATTAATTAATAAATACATGTCAGCTTTACGAGGAACAAGTTCTGGAATATTTACTCCAACGTTTGCCTCAATAAAAATAGGGGTGTCAGAAGCAACACGAAAATGCGTTAAATTTAGATTACTATGGTCATTAGATCAATGACCAAACAAAGAAACAATGGTTTAGTCAGTGATATACAAGCTATAACATGGCACGTACTCTAGGTGAAATGCAACAGCAACATAGAGATTCGTAACGAGGACGCTTGAAGTGACTCACAGTTTTATCAAGCACCTGTCTGAAGTGAAACGTATTATAAATCACGAATTAACAGTTTTACACGCCAACTTTCTTCTTATCATTGTTAAGTTCATACGCCTTGGGTGCAGCTTGCTGTCCCTGTTGAAATCAATTCCCTGCCTGTGATTGCCAGTCCCTGCATTACCTTTATGAATCTAAACCTAGTAGACCCGTGACGATCTGGGGTAGAATAGGTCTTCAGCAACCCATGCTTGTCGTAAAAGGCGACCATGCTTGTCGTCAAAAGCGACTAACAGAATCGGGTAGTCAGGCTCGATGACTTGGTTGATGCATGTCATCGATCCCAATCGCGTGGATTGATGCTCATGATATTTATAACTGGATTGTCTTGGCCAGATTTGATTAGTTACAGACCGCCGTCATACAGCTGGAATATTGCTGAGAGCGGAGTTAAACAACAAACCAACAAACCAACTAAACTTTGTAGTGTTGTATTGTATTGTGACCCTCGTTCAAGTATCCCAGTTGACGGGGGACACCAGAAATGGGCTTCACACATTGTACCTATGTTGGGAATCTTCGGCGTGACGAGCGAACGCTTTAACCAACAGGCTACCCGATCGCTCCGTTTACTTTGGAGCGTGCTGTAGTTGTTGAAATAATTGTAGTTTGTTTGTTTGACTTTAGATGTACCGAGCCTTTTAGTAATAGGATATTCTGGTTATTTTCTGGCGTTGTATATTTACTTGAACTGGGTTAATGTTTTTCTTGGTGGAATGTAAGTCCCGGAGTAGCTCTGTAGTATTTATACGGTTTTGTCATATTTATTTACAACCCTCGCCTCAGAGATACCACTATCAATCTCGATATGATGCTGTGGCATATGCACAGACGTTAATAAATGACTCAATGTAAGGCACATCATTTTTTTATTGCATGAACTCGAACAAGATTTGCGTGCGAGTACTCACCTGGATGTATAAATCTCCTTATCATAAACACTTATTGCAACTGTTGTGAAGAGTTAATTTGTAAACGCTAAATGGGACATAATTACGTTAACAATGATAAGCTGTGACATTACATCACAAATACGTTGACAATGACAGGTTGTGACATTGCATTACAAATACGTTGACAGTGACAGGCTGTGACATTGCATTTCAAACACGTTGACAGTGACAGGCTGTGACATTGCATTTCCAATACGTTGACAAGGACAGGCTGTGACATTGCATCACAAATATGTTGACAATGACAGGCTGTGACATTGCATTACAAATACGTTGACAGTGACAGGCTGTGACACTGCATTACAAATACGTTGACAGTGACAGGCTGTGACATTGCATCACAAATATGTTGACAATGACAGGCTGTGACATTGCATTACAAATACGTTGACAGTGACAGGCTGTGACATTGCATTCCAAACACGTTGACAGTGACAGGCTGTGACACTGCATTACAAATACGTTGACAGTGACAGGCTGTGACATTGCATTACAAATACGCTGGCAGTGACAGGCTGTGACATTGCATTTCCAATACGTTGACAAGGACAGGCTGTGACATTGCATTACAAATACGATGAAAATGATAAGCTGTGACATTGCATTCCAAATACGTTGACAATGATAGGCTGTGACATTGCATTACAAATACGTTGACAATGACAGGCTGTGACATTGCATTACAAATACGATGACAATGACAGGCTGTGACATTGCATTACAAATACGTTGACAATGACAGACTGTGACACTGCATTACAAATACGATGACAGTGACAGGCTGTGACATTGCATTTCAAATACGTTGACATTACGTCAACTCCTGTCCTTGTCACGTTAACGCTGATATTTTCATTACGTCATAAAAGGTCTATTTATTACGTTAACACTGGTCTTTATATCACGTAAGCAATGGTATAGAGTGAGTGAAATCATCATGACATATGTTCTCCATATCAAATTGAAACATAGGGATAATAATGACTATTTTCATCCATATATTTTGTCAATCCAGAACCAAAGATCTGACAGAACGTCAGAGAAGCAGGTTTCACTGCAGGATACGCGGATAGTGTGTCTATAAATTCAGAGCTATATATTCCAGGATGCAATATATTTTATTTTCAGCCTGAAGCAAATGCTCATGATTCGTTATATGAAGAATAAGGGATATATTAAGATAAGAGGTAAAATTGGTTGTGGCTTTCTGCCTTGATTGATATTAAAGATATGTGTCATTACAAGGACAATTATTGTTTAGTAAAATAATATCTAGCCTTCATTAAACGCAGAGGACAATAACACAAGCACATATTCTGCAATACAAATTCAGTAGATTAATCATGAACAAAATACACAATTTCAAGAATTCAGTTTTGTTCAAGCAATACAAATGCTCTTGTCAACTTCGGGGGGCAAGGTGGCCCAGTCTTCGAAGGCGCCGCGATCCTCTGTGCATAGTTGCGTCCCTTGGACACGCCAGAAACCTATGATTGTTGGTTCAAATCCAGGTTCCCACCGATTAGGTTTCAAAGTTTGTCAGCACAATGCCTGTGCTCGTTGGTTTCACTGAAGTGGTAAACGTCTAAGACCTGCATCAATTCGGGCTTTCCTCCAACATTAAGATGACATGCCGTGATCTAACTGGAATACTGTTAAAAGCGGCGTAAAACCCAAATCACTCACTCATGTCAACTTCATCAGTTTAAAAAAGACTAAATTTCAGAGTGTCCTCTTGCAAATGCAATCATACCAGGGACATGAATTCTGCTCGTGTGCTATTCAGGAAGAATTTCCAGTTTAGTTGAGCCAGCTCTTGTCAAGCGCGCCACGATAAACAAAGCATTTCGTGCCCTCACATAAACAGCCTTATCCACGTTGTTTTTCAATTTCAATTCAACTTGACCTCAATCCCTAGTGCCCGCGATGCCCCAGCTTTGTTATCGCTGCCCTGTTGGAGACGTCATCTTGGTTCCAAACAAGGTCTGATGGCTACACTCTCCTCAGGTAAAAACTCTACCGTAGAGGTGTGATTTGAGTTTAGAGAAGTGATAAAAAGTCAGCGGCGGTGCATGTGGTGGAAACGCAAAGACACAATTTGCTACTGAAACCATTGCCACGTATGTGCACATACACATTGTTCTTTACCAGTAGAGCATAATATGAACAGAGCTCTCCTTGACGTTTTTCTTTGACTTTATTCTCTGACGTTGTATCCCATGTTGCTAGTTTTTGCTCGTCAGTTGTCAACGGACATCACCAGCTTATACACATGTTTGGTGTGATTGGGGCCATACATCTCCACTGCTTGCTCGTGATATACAATTCGCATGAAAAAGGTCACAAAGTCCCTGGATTTGTTTTGTTGGGTCACCTTCTAATCTAGTGTCAACATGACGGACACCTTGCAAACCGTTCCCTCCAGTGGAATGTGTCAGATCCCAGCAGTGTCATTGATACGTTGAATAGTAACATGTCGATTTAGCCATAACCATTTGGTGGAGTTAGATTTGGCATGATGTCAATTTGGCGGATCCCCAGAACGAAGTCATCTTCTTTGCTGTTCTATTTTCTTCAACTGTAGCCCATTCAACTTTTGATCCCATGCGTGCTTTCTTATATCTCCGGGGTGATCGGATAGCCTAGTGGTTAAAGCGTTCGCTCGTCACACCGAAGACCCGTGTTCGATTCCCAACATGGGTACAATGTGTAAAGCCCATTTCTGGTGTCCCCCGCCGTGATATTGCTGGAATATTGCTAAAAGCGGCGTAAAACCATACTCACTCACTCACTCTAATATCTCCATGAGCTTCCTTTGGTGAAATGCCCTATTTGGGCAGGTACATAATCACAGCTCATTTCTCAGACTTTTCTGTTGTCGAAGTTTCTCTCACCCCTGTCTAGCTGACTTGTTGAAATCAGATATGGTGATCAGTGTAAACTTATGTTATGACATCCAATTGTCGAATACTTACACCACAATAAGAAATATCTGAGAACCAAGAGACTTTTCAATTTACCCTCGGGGCATGTAGGTACTTTTGGAAATGAATTATTAGATAATTATATAGAATTTGTGTACGTTCATTTCATGAGTTTCATAACTACACTTATAGTTATGTGTTTATTGTTTTACTCCGCACACAGCAATATTTCAGAAATATGACGGCGGTCTGTAAATAATCGAGTTTGGACCAGATAATCCAGTGATTGATATGAGCATCGATCCACGCAACTGGGATACGATGACATGCCTGAACCAATCAGCGAGCCTGACCACCCGATCCCGTTAGTCGTCTCTTACGAAAAGCATAGTTACCTTTTAAGCATGGGTTGCTGAAGACCTACTCTACCCCGGATCTTCACTGGTGAGCATATTTTTTATTTTCATTTTCCCTCTTTATTCATCTCAGCAGGTACAGCATTTATATATACATGTCATGTCAATACAATTGTGGTACATTGTTTTTAAAGTTTTAAAAAATGTACATTTTTTCATACAATAAATAGTGTATCACTGTTCAGTTTTTAACAAAGTGTGGAAGGAAGACCAAAAACTGAAAAAGTTTGCATAGTTACAATTTGTGAATGACATTACCTTTGTAGCATTGTACTAACTTTTTATCTCATGCTGGATGTGTTCAAAATGTGGCCTAAATCCTTTCCTGCATTGTCTGTATATTACTTGTTTTGTTATTGAAAGTACATTATTTAATGGGTTAAAATCCAAATAAAACATTTTCTCTGTTTAAATCAATGATTCCTTCCACAACAGATTTTAGCCAGATATACAGTCTATACAGTGAGCTTTTTGTTCTTAGGGAATACTTTCTACCTTGTAGAGTTAGCTAAGCGTGATAACGTTACCTTCACAAATTCATATACTTGTGTGACTATTTCCCGTCGATTTTGTTTATGAACATATTATATTGATCAAACATATTTCTATATTAGATAAAAAATAAATAACTCACAAATTGTGTACTCCAACATAAACCATCCGACATCTCTACCCTGTGGTCCACCTCACGAGGAAGTGCAGTCTACAGGGACTAGCTAGCATAAAATAACTCCTTGAGTGACGTTCATTGTTGTCTATAAATAAGTGACCCTTCGGTCCTGTTCGAACATGGTGTGCTGCTGTTGATTTGGCCGAGCTCAGGTTATCAGAGTGAGTGAGTGAGTGTATAAAGTGAAAGAGAATAGTTCTGTGTCAATACAATGCTGGATAATAATGTGGCGACATGAACAGAGAACCAGGGTGTACCAATGTTGACATGCATGTATTGCCGACAGCTGTATATGTAGGTCGACAGATTTGGCGGTCGCAGCATAACGTTTTGGTGTTGAATTCTCCCACACTGGTAGAGCAAAACTAGCGCAAGACTACTTAATGGCTCAATGCTATTGTCAAGAATTATTATGTTGTTCCTAATGTAAGCTACAGAAACAAATCGTATAGACAGTGAGACCATGGCATCTGGGCTACGTTCTTGCTATGTAAATGGTATCATGTATATCTCACGATTTTACCAGATACGCTGTACGAAATATATGAAATACTGTCTATCTTTTTCTGCCTTACTTTCTATAAGTCCCTGATTTACTGCATGTTTATGATTATTTCCATTAATGCTTCAAACAATCGACATGATTTCCAAACAGCAGACATATTTGCATTTTCACCTATTAGTTCAAGAATAAATGAATATTTGATAAAAATACACCTATTGAAAGATATTTGCATTTCATAACTTGAACGTTTACGAACTAACTTTAGCGCTTAATTTCATCTATTGATCGATTGAGTATTATATGTATCTCACCTCTCCAAATGGATATTCAACCCATGAAGATCCGGGGTAGAATAGGTCTTCAGCAACCCATGCTTGTCGCAAAAGGCAGCTATGATCGGGTGGTCAGGCTGATGGTCAGTACTTGGTTAATGCATGTCATCGGTCCAAAATGCGTGGATTGATGCTCATGATGTTAATCACAAGATTGTCTGGTCCATCATCGTGACATCCTATACAACCCCAGGTGGACAAACATCAATGATGTCAAATGTCTAGGTGAAGCAGATCACCTGTTGATCTTATTTATCAATAAGTGATGTCAAAATGTCCTGCATTATTCTGATTCTATTGTAGACTATGTTGGTTGGTTGGCTGGTTGGTTGTTTAACGCCGCACTCAGCAATATTCCAGCTATATGAAAGCAGTCTGTAAATAATCGTGTCTGGACCAGACAATCCAGTGATTGATATCATGAGCACCGATCCACGCAATTTGGATCGATGACATGTATTAACCAAGTCAGCGAGCCTGACCACCCGATCCCGTTAGTCGCCTTTTGCGACAAGCATAGTCACCTTTTACGGTAAGCATGGGTTGCTGAACACCTATTCTACCCCAGAATCTTCACAGGGGGTAGACTATGTATTTAGATCAGATTTGTATAAGGCACCCAGTAACAAGTAACTGGACATAGAAATGAAAAACAAATATGTCTTAATAAAGTTAACACATATGCAGATTATCGTGTGTACAATGTTAAACATAATTTGAAATATGGATCACATTATATCCTTCGGTCAAACACGCTATTTTGAAGCATGGTTGCAAATAAAATGGAGGCAGCTGTCATCAAGATTTTTTATTCAATTTCAATCGTCAGCATCATTGTTATCAATCGCCTCTTCTTCAATCATTACCAGCATGGAGACGCCTTCTTCTGCACCATCATCGCCCCAGACATCATCACCAGATGTCATTTTGCGACTTAACAGTATCCAGAAAACATAAGATTCCCAAAAGCTGAAACACACGATCCCCATTTCAACAACGCCAGTAAGCTGCAAGAGCAACTTACCTGGACATGCCAGGTAAATTATGTGTTCAAATGTTCAATTTCCCGACCTTCCATGTCTACTGCATACATCAAATAAGACATTTATTGCAAAGTTTACAAACACAAGGATAATTAATCTTTGACATTATATCTCCAATATCTTCCGTTTGAGTTGAATTGCCCGGCAAGAAATCATCAGGGAATTCATCTACCATTTAGTTATCTGTATATATGTCCTGATAACCAGGACACACTTGTATAGTGATAGTTACCTCCCCTCTATCGCACATTGCCTGTTGCCTCGAATCCCGCACATGTAATGCTTGCTGTGGAAGTAAATGTTTATTTCTTCATTCTCACAACTTGTATTATCCATGAAACTTGCATGTTCTCATGTTCTCCCAACTTCTGATTACCAGTCTGCATTGAACATTATATTTAGAGTCTATACTTTTTAGCCCAGTCGTCTAATGCGCAACTATTCGCTGTGCTGAGTTGCGTCCCTTGGGCACGCCAGAAACCTATGATTGTGGGTTCGAATCCTGGTTCGCCCCGATTATGTTTCTAGGTTTGTCAGCACCTTACCCGTGCTCGTTGGTTTCACCGAAGTGGTAAACGTTTGAGACTTGCATCACTTCGGGCTTTCCTCCCACATAAAGCTGACACGCTCCGATATAATTGGAATATTGTTAAAAGCGGCATTAAAACCAACTCATTCACACACTACCTTGATAGTGGCTGAAATAGTGCTGATGTGTCTTAAGATTTTAACTCACTCACTCTTTTAAATAAGGCCAATAAACAAAGCTTTTGCCCAAATTGCCAGTCACAGGCACATTAAGATTCCTCAGATATACCATTATTGTATCCATCAAGTCATAATTTGTCAAACATGTGCTTATTTACCGAACGTATGTATTTGCATATTTCAGGCGAGAAACAAATCAGTTCTTCAAGAGGCCTTAAAGAAATAGTCAGCTCTATGGAATTCCCGCTGCTCATGACATTGCTGCAATGCCCAGATCACATCTGACTTTGGCGTCACTATTTGACAGATTGACGCTGAGGGTCATGGACAGAAATGTGTATAGCAAGCTAATGAGGACAATAAACAAGGCCTCTTCAAGAATAGTTGTGTGACTACACTCGTGTCACTAGAAGGGACCACAGTCACTCACTCAGTACGCATCTCTGGTGTCTAGTGAAAAATATTTGTGTCGATCGGGAGTAGATTGCCCGTTTAGGAGTAGAGCAGGTCTTGCAGATTCCAGTTGTACAGTGCTTCCGACGACCACCTGATGCAAAACATGGTCCCATGGTACATGACGTGATAAAACGCTGTTTACTAAACCTGTATTATAAGTCAACGGGTTTCTCTTCACAGAGTGAGTGTGTTTGGAGATATTAATGATAATAATATTCTGTATTTGGAATAAACATTGTATCTTCTAGCCTTGCCGAGCTAAATAGTGTTTATTCCTAATACAGGACATTTACCATCGCCTAACACACAGGCTTGATGACCTCTTTCTCTTATAATGTCATTTTCCAATTCTGTCCTCGAAAACTCTCTTCCCATCTCTCACAAACATTACCGAAACATTGAACGTTTTCCATGAATGTGCGCAATACTATGTAGTACGTCAGAAGGTTAGTGACGTGTCCGTCGGACAGCGACGACAATCAATGTAGTTCCATCTGAAACCTCTTTCTTTTACAGTAGCGTAACGACATATAGGCACAACAACAATTGCCTACACAAATTGTTTCTCTTTTCCTTTCGCGGCAATCCACTGGTCTGTCCGTCAGAATAACTGCCCTTTATCAAAGGGAAGTTACTCTAACCCTAGTCTATGAAACGTAACGTTTGTTTAAAGTCTGCCTGTCCGGTCATAACGTTGCAGTCAGATGAACACACATCAACTAAACGAAACAAGGTAACAATTCATACACATTTCGGCCAAATCCAACAGTGTTAATGTGGGGGAAATGTTCCAAGCCGTAGAGGTCTGCAAGCAAAGGTATTGAAAGTGATCATGCTGCTGGCGCTAGGCTAGTGTCCTCGCCCAATTGTTTCGCAATTTATATCTCCAAAGTTCCCAAAACGTGTAACATGCCACAGATGCATCAACTTTTGCACAAACCACGTGTAGCAGTAGTTTGTCTGATTAACTAGCTGAAACTCATCTTACAACTTACCACTATGTGGAACAGATAAACAACACAGTATTTGACCTATCATTTTACAACCGTCTATGGAACATGTCTTTGAAAATCATTTACAAGTTCAACACATGAGGAAGACATCTTTAATTTGGGGAACACAATGTTTTGGAGTCTATACTTACTACTTCACCTGATGAAAGAGTAAATTTTACTTCGAAACATTGAGTTCCTCATAATAAAGTTACCATCCATAAATTCTCTTCCTTACATGTATGTATCATCCGTGTATCACCTGGTTTCTACTTCGTTTTGAGGAAAGTTATTCCGTTTTCATAAGCACATCAAACCGAAATGTATTTTCATATATTTAATCCTGAATGCTAAATGCTAAACAGAGACTGTGATAGCCGCTGTTAACACTCAGCATTTCAGGCATTTACGGACGAACGCAAGTCCTTATTGTATATGAATCAGATGAACTGAGGACCAAAATCGGGGTGAATCTAGAAAAAATGTGTATGCAGGCACCACTGGGAATTGCGTTCTCATACACTTCTCCCAATTCAGAAGACTATTGATAACTTATAAAAATGAGTTACACACATCAGGGAATATAAACATTTGTCAATTAATTTCTTATTGATTAATATAGAATAGGTCATGCATCCTTGCGGAAAAAATACAGTTTTAAGAACATATTTTTTTATCCATGTAAAGCTTTATACTGTTAATGGACCTAGCACCTACACCTCTTTAAATATAACACGAGCAACATGCTTATATAGCTCCAGGTTAGATTGAACATACATCCGACATACATGGGGAAGTAACGCACGACAGCATTTCTGAAGTGTACATGCAGTGTACAAATATGCAGCCACTTTCTCGGCACTATTACCGACTTTGGCGGCACTATCGCGCCACTTTCACGGCACTATCGCGCCACTTTCACGGCACTATCACGGCACTTTTGCGCCACTTACGCGAAACTTCGCGGCATTAGCGCGCAACTTTCGCGGTATTATCGCGCCACTTTTGAGTCACTTTCGCGATACTTTCACGGCACTATCGCGAACGAATAGCGAAATAGTTTCGCGATACAGGGGAAGTGACTTTTGAAATGTAGTGTACGTCACAGTTAGACACTGATATTCAGGATATCAGACTCTTCCTTTGATAATAATAGCAATTATCCCAGTGATTTATCCGTAATCTGATTCGATCACCGAAAGTACCTACTTGACCTTTGATATTTTCATTACTATCCGCACATGAAGCCAATGGATATCGTTTTTATTCGCTGGCTTTATCAGTTGCATTTTCAAGTTTATTTTGCTTTCATGTTATGTTTCGTCCGACCCTCTGAAGATGAATTGCACTGTTACAATGTTAATCCTCTACTGTTAATCCTCCACCTACTATATATATTCTGCACTATGTCCCTCATTGGGTAGGACTTCAGGCGGAATGGAGGGCAATACCAAGGGCGAACGTACGCAAGGAAATCAAAAGTATGCCATCAAGGTGTCTTGCACAACATGGTGGACACGCCAGATATTGATCTACACGCCCAAAATTAATTCAGACATTTATCGCCTTTACATCTTCACTATCATTTCATCAGTTCCCCTATTTGTTGAAGGGAGTCATCTATATACACATTTTCTTTTTGGCCGTACGTTTTTTGTGGTTTTCATGTCATTGCGTACATGAATGGGATAACATTGGTAGGTGTAGGTGTTGACAACAAAGGGATGATGCTGTCACAACACACTGGACAGAGAACACATACGTGGAAGCCAATAAGGACATGAAGCCAATAAATAAGTGATTATTGTTTTATAAGTTCATAGTAGGCGGGTGGAATGAAATAACCTTATCTGTGTTATCCCGATCATATATGTCATTGTTGTTACTGTTAATCCTCCACCTACCATATATATTCTGTACCTAGTCCCTCATTCATTCTTGCTTGACAACGGTATAAGGATCTATACCGAAACGTCGCTTTTTACAGTATTGTTATCCATAAAAAAATGTCTACCTTGCAAAATGTCGTCAACATGTCGGTGGCCGGTCAAATGTCCAGTTCCCAAAAAACACAAATCTGTTTGTTTATCATATGTGACACCGCCCCACACCATGACACAACCAATCCGTACCGATCATACTGCTACTTCCCAAACAGCGTGTTCTTCTATCTGAGTCGGAACCACTTGCGCGCAGCCCGTCCCTGGTTTTGCCTAGTCCACCCCAGTCTTTGCCGCCTATGGTATGCTTTCAGGCGGCCTCACCTCACCTCAAATCACCTCACGTCACCTCAACTCTCTTGTACCAATAATTCGAAATTTCATTGTGCTTAGATGTTGTGTTTAGATGCAACGCCACGGTTTTGAAAATGTACACCTTAGCCATAGCTACATTCAAATCATGAGTTGCTTTATTTTTGTCGGTAGTATATACTATACAGGAAACATGCCCTGTCCATGGGGACAAAGGCTTGAAGAAGCAATGAGAAAGAAGAGGAAGAAAGGAATTTGGGCGAGTGTCTCGTCTTCAAGAAGAAAACATTGCCTTTATTCGTTTGAGTTAATTTGAGACGCTTCTTTGTCAAGCCTCGACTCAAGCCGTTGAAGCATGGGCCGATGAGCTCAGTCATATTCTAAAGCAGGGGAAGTAACTCCTGTTGGCTTAAGAAAGTCATGTTTGGCATGTGCAGAGATGAGGTGGAAACTCACAGAATTAGATCAAGAAGAGCGTGAGGTAGTTGGTCCCGTGGATCACCAGCTTTTTACTTCCATACATGGAATCAAACCCTTCCCTGGTGCCCCGGTCATGGCATTGGATCAATGCTGTGGAATCAGCGAAGAAATTTATCTTTTTTCAAGGAGAATAGTGGAAGTGATGACCGTATTAAGAACAAGTTGATAGTAAAATACTGTGGTGACAAGACTATATACTTGTCGAAATAGGCTACTGACTGGACCGGGTGGTCAGACTCACTGACTCACTGATTGTGTGTGATCGTATCCCGTCGGACGTCCCTTATACTCTCAATCCCTAGTTTGACAGGTCTTCGTTACATATATTTTAAGGTAAACAATAAACATACAAACAATGCCCTGTAAGGGGCAATGTGTCCTACAGTCACGAAAGGCGCCGCGATTGGCTGTGCTGCGTTGTGTCCCTTACCATGATCCAAAGATTATGGCAATGAATTCCAGATCCTCTCAGATTATGTTTTTTCAGTGGTCAGCGTCATATGTGTGATCTATGTTGACCGAGAAAAATAATGAACTGTATGGTTTTGTTTCTATGTTGACCGAGAGAAAATATCGCTATATTAGGTCGAGATTTTTTATTGATGTTGAATATACTTTTTGAAGCAGATGATTGTTGGGTATGTTTTTACACAAAATAATAAGCTGTGTGGTTTTGTTTCATTTGCCCCATGCTTTCGCGTTCTTGTTTCGTATTATCGCTTTTTAGCGTCCGAAATGGAATTCAATAACGCGATGTCCCCTCCCAGCCACAACAATGATAACTGGTTTCAGGAAAGAACTGATTCGTTTCGGGCTTCCCTTCCATATGAAAGTGAATTCATTCATAAAGTTTAAGTACATTTCAAAGCGGCGATATCCCGTTAGCTTCCTAGATATGAATTATATTTTGCAATAGTTTTTCCTCATGTCAACTTCACCATAGACACGCGGCATATCAATCTATATTTATGATGCCCTATTTCATTTACAGCAGCTGCGCTTCCAAAAATCTGCTCATTGAAACTCCTTGATAACCTCAAACCTCTTAGAAACAGGCCATCAGCAGCTTAATGCTGGTAGTTAGGGGTGGGTGCTTGTGAAAGGCGACTCACGGGATCAGGTGGTCACGCTCGCTGATTTGGTAGATGCATGTCATCGATCCCAATTGCGTAGATCGATGCTTATGATATCAATCACTGGATTGTCTGGCCATAATCGAATATTTACAGACCGCAGACCATATAGCTGGAATATTGCTGAGTGAGGCGTTAAACAAACAAAGATAGTGTTGACTATATTGGATCGGACTTGACTTGGCTGATTGCGTTTCATCGCACCCCGATGGCATGGGTCGTCGATTATTTAAAGAGTTGATAGAGTTGGAATCCGGTGTAAACAAACGAACATACAGGTAGCCACACCATGCCCGCTGTTTCATACAGCTGTCATATTGCGGAATGCAATGTG